AAGAACAGAACTGTTACTGACACGAACATGACGTAATATTACAGTAAAACAGGATTTCAAAATAAAAAACTGGGACATCCCTGTTTTTTTTGGCCATTGTTGGTAATAAAAAAATTGTGAAACGAGTGTGTAATTAAGTAAAACTGTTCTGCAGATGCAATTCAGGATGAACATGAGTCAGTACAGTCACGTTTTCTTTGTGTTTTGGTCGTTTTTAAGCAGCTTTTCTGTATTTTAACTAAACAAATGACAGTTTATGCCTCTGTTTACTTTTGGCAAGGATCAAATTGGTCAAAAATAGGAAACGAGTGCGTAATTAAGGAAAATCGTTCTGCACTCATGACGAACATGTGAGTCAGTATATTCAGATTACCTTTGTGTTTTGGTCGTTTTGAAGCAGATTTTCTGTATTTTAACTAAACAAATGACTCTTTTTATTGTTGGGAAGTATCAATCTGGTCCAAAATATGAACACATGGGACATTTCTTGTTTAAAACTGGTTTAGTCCTGTTTTCAGTCCTGTTTTAGTCCTGTTTCAGTCCTAGTTCAGTCCTGTTTTAGTCCTATTTTAGGCCTGGTTTCAGTCCTGGTTCAGTACAGTCACATTTTCTTTGTCTTTTGGTCGTTTTTAAGCAGCTTTTCTGTATTTTAACTAAACAAATGACAATTTATGTCTCTCTTTACTGCTGGAAAGTATCAAACTGGTCCAACATAAGGACACCTGGGACATTTCTTGTACAAAAATACAAGATAATAGAACATCTGGACATCTAATATAAGTATTTTACAATTACAAACTACATTTCTTAGTAAACCACAGCTTCATAAATGTTTTGTTCTGCTTTAGTTACACATTTTTACACTGAAATACAGACGACTGGTCAACTTATTTAATATATGAGTTTCTATTTCTATATAAGTCCAAAATAAACTTGTGAAACGAGTGTGTAATTAAGGAAAATTGTTCCTAATGTGATTCAGTACAGTCACATTTTCTTCTTGTTTTGGTCGTTTTTTAGCAGCTTTTCTATATTTTAACTAAACAAATGACAGTTTATGTCTCTTTCTTTTTACTGTTCCAGGGATCAAATTGGTCAAAAATAGAGACCTGGGACATTTCTTGTATATAACTGGGACGTCTGACCACTCTATTTAACATGTATAAGTTAAAGTGACCAGATTTTTAAAATAAAAAACTTGAACATCCCTGGTTTGGGTTAGTAATAATAAAACTACTAACTAATTGTTCTGCACTCTGCCCTAATGCGAGTCAGTACAGTCACATTTTCTTTGTGTTTTGGTCATTTTTAAGCAGATTTTTTGTATTTTAACTAAACAAATGACAGTTTATGTCTCTTTTTACTGTTGGAAAGTATCAAACTGGTCCAAAATACGGACACTTGGGACATTTCTTGCACAAAATTGCAAGATAAATAGAATAAATAGGTCTGGTGACTCGAATATAAGTTCTGTTTTGCGATTACAAACAACATTTCTTAGTAAACAACAGCTTCATAAATGTTTTGTTCTGCTTTAGTTACACATTTTTACACTCAAATAGGGACGACTGGTCAACTTATTTAATATATGAGTTTCTATTTCTATATAAGTCCAAAATAAACTTGTGAAACGAGTGTGTAATTAAGGAAAATTGTTCCACTCGGCACAAATGTGAGTCAGTACAGTCACATTTTCTTTGTGTTTTGGTCGTTTTTAAGCAGCTTTTCTGTATTTTAACTAAACAAATGACAGTTTATGTCTTTCTTTACTGTTCAAATTGATCAAAAATATGGACACCTAGGACATTTCGTTATGCAAAAATACAAGATAAATAGGATAAATAGAACATCTGGACTGGATAAGAAAAACTGTTGCAGTCGGCACAAATGTGAGTCAGTACAGTCACATTTTCTTTGTGTTTTGGTCATTTTTAAACAGCTTTAATGTATTTTATCTAAACAAATGACTTTTTTTTACTGTTGGAAAGTATTAAATTGGTCCAAAATAGGGACACCTGGGACATTTCTTGTACAAAATAAGGACAAATTCACAGGGACAGAGGACACAGGGCTCAAAACTGGGACTGTCCCGGGTAAAAAGAGACGTCTGGTCACACTAATTTAAGTATTTAGCAGTTACAAGCTGCATTTCTTAGTAAACCACAGTGTTATAAATGTTTTGTTTTGCTTTAGTTACACATTTTTACACTCAAATACAGACGACTGGTCAACTTATTTAATATATGACTTTATATTTATATATAAGTCTTGGACATCCCTGGTTTATGGTGGTTGGTAATAACAAAATTGTGAAACGAGCGCGTAATTAATGAAAATTGTTGCACAGGCACTAATGTGAGTCAGTGTACTCATTTTTTGTGTGTGTTTTTGTCATTTCTGAAGCAGCTTTAATGTATTTTACCTAAATAAATGACAGTTTATGCCTCTGTTTACTTTTGGCAAGGATCAAATTGGTCAAAATTGGAAACAAGTGCGTAATTAAGGAAAATCGTTCTGCACTCATGACGAACATGTGAGTCAGTATATTCAGATTTTCTTTGTGTTTTGGTCGTTTTTAAGCATTTTTAAAAAAACCTGGGACATACCGGATTTTTTGGCGGTTGGTAATGACAAAATTGTGAAACGAGTGTGTAATTAAGTAAAACAGACACAATTCATGACAAACATGAGTCAGTACAGTCACGTTATCTTTGTCTTTTGGTCGTTTTTAAGCAGCTTTTCTGTATTTTAACTAAACAAATGACAGTTTATGTTTCTCTTTACTGTTGACAGGGATCAAATTGGTCCAAAATACGAACACCTTGGACATTTCTTGTATAAAACCGGCACGTCTGACCACTCTATTTAAGATGTAGAAGTTAGACTGACCACATTTTCAAAATAAAAAACTGGGACATCAATGGTTTGTGGCGGTTGGTAATAATAATAAAATTGTGTGAAAGTCTAGTCACATTTTCATTGTGTGGTTTAAGCAGGTTTTTTTAAGGAAACGAGTGTGTAATTAAGTAAAACAGACACAATTCATGACAAACATGAGTCAGTACAGTCACGTTATCTTTGTCTTTTGGTCGTTTTTTAGCAGCTTTTCTGTATTTTAACTAAACAAATGACAGTTTATGTCTCTCTTTACTGCTGGAAAGTATCAAACTGGTCCAAAATATGGACGCCTGGGACATTTCTTGTGCAAAAATACAAGATAAATAGAACATCTAGACATCTAATATAAGTATTTTGCGATTACAAACAACATTTCTTAGTAAATTACAGCTTCATAAATGTTTTGTTCTGCTTTAGTTACACATTTTTACACTCAAATAGGGACGTCTGGTCAACTTATTTAATATATGAGTTTATATTTCTATAGAAGTCCAAAATAAACTTGTGAAACGACTGTGTAATTAAGGAAAATTGTTCCACTCAGTCTAGTCACATTTTCTTTGTGTTTTGGTCATTTTGAAGCAGATTTTCTGTATTTTAACTAAACAAATGACTCTTTTTATTGTTGGGAAGTATCAATCTGGTCCAAAATAGGGACACATGGGACATTTCTTGTACAAAACTGGTTTAGTTCTGGTTTAGTCCAGTTTTAGTCCAGTTTTAGTTCTGTTTTAGTCCTGTTTAGTCCTGTTTTAGTCTGGTTTTAATGCTGGTTTTGTCCTGGTTCATTCTTGGTTCAGTCCTGTTTTAGTCCTGGTTCAGTACAGTCACATTTTCTTTGTCTTTTGGTTGTTTTTAAGCAGCTTTTCTGTATTTTAACCAAACAAATGACGATTTATGTCTGTTTTTACTATCGACAGGGATTAAATTGGTCAAAAATAAGGACACCTGGGACATTTCTTGTACAAAACTGGTTTAGTCCTGGTTCAGTCCTGGTTCAGCTCTGGCTCAGTCCTGTTTTAGTATTTGTTCAGTCCCGATTTTGTCCTGGTTCAGCTCTGGTTCAATCCTGTTTTAGTCTTGGTTTAGTCTTGTTTTGCTGGTTTTGTCGTGGTTCATTCTTGGTTCAGTACTGTTTTAGTCCTTTTTTTGTCCTGTTGTAGTCCTTTTTTAGTCCTGGTTCAGTCCTTGTTTAGTCCTGTTTTAATCCTGGTTCAGTCCTTGTTTAGTCCTGTTTTAGTCCTGGTTCAGCTCTGGTTCAATCCTGTTTTAGTCTTGTTTTAATGCTGGTTTTGTCGTGGTTCATTCTTGGTTCAATCCTGTTTTAGTTCTGTTTTAGTCCTAGTTTAGTCCTGTTTTAGACCTGGTTCAGTCCTGGTTCAGTATAGTCACATTTTCTTTGTTTGTAATTTTGAAGCAGATTTTCTGTATTTTACCTGAACAAATGACAGTTTATGTTTCTTTTTTTACTGCTGGCAGGGCTCAATCTGGTCCAAAATATGGACACCTGGGACATCTCTTGTTTAAAACTGTTTTAGTCCTGGTTTAGTCCTGTTTTAGTCCTGGTTTAGTCCTTTTTTAGTCCTGTTTTAGTCCTTGTTTAGTCCTGTTTTAGTCTTTGTTTAGTCCTAGTTCCGTCCTTGTTCAGTCCTGGTTTAGTCCTGGTTTTGTCATGGTTCAGTCCTGTTTTAGTCCTGTTTCAGACCTGTTTCAGACCTGGTTCAGACCTGGTTCAGACCTGGTTCAGTCCTGATTCTGTATAGTCACACTTTCTTCATGTTTTGGTCGTTTTTAAGCAGCTTTTCTGTATTTTAACTAAACAAATGAGAGTTTATGTTTCTTTTTACTGTTGGAAAGTATCAAACTGGTCCAAAACAAGGACACTTGGGACATTTCTTGTACAAAAACACAAGACAAATAGAATAAATAGGTCTGGTGACTCTTACTAAACCACAGCTTCATAAATGTTTTGCACCGCCTTAGTTACACATTTTCTCTCTGGACACAAAGCCGATCCTGTTGACAGTGACAGGTGGATCTGCGGATCCGTTACGGTCGTTACCCGCGGTTCCACCCGGACGGACCGGTTTCTCGGGACTTACCGGGAGTCTGCCGGTGGAGGAGCGGACCGGTTTGGCTTCGGGGCCGTGCGGGGTCGAGTAGAGGCTGTGCGCTCTTTGTTCGGCCGCGCTGGTGTTGCAGATCTGGGTGAAGTATCCGGCGGGGACCGTGCTGAGCGGCGGCGGCGGACTCCCCAGGCCCCCCAGGAGGCCCTTGTGGTGCGAGCCCGGCAGGGACGGGGACGCGGGGACGGGGCGACACGGACCCGGAGAGACGCCTTTGGGCAGCCGCATCATTCTGGGCCTGTGAGCGCTGGTCCTGGAGCTGAACATGAACAAAAACAACCAGACATACAGAGAAAATATGAATAATCTGCAATAAAACAAGAAAATAACAAGACTCTGGGACTAAAATACAGTGTTGGAGAGTAACAGATTACATGTACCAGAGTAATCAGAGTACAAATTATGAGTAACTGTATTCAGTTACAGTTACTGTTTCAGTGAGTGGTAAATGGATTACAGTTACTTTGTTGAAATAAATGGATTACACAGAAGTATTTTCCTGTTTTCACATTTGGGACTATTCCCTTTCTTTTTTTTTCTCGGTAATTCCACTCATTGCAAGACACTAAAACAGGTCTAAACTGGGACTAAAACCAGGACTAAACCAGGTCTAAACCAGGACTAAACCAGGACTAAACCAGGTCTAAACAAGGTCTGAACAAGGACTAAACCAGGACTAAAACAGGTCTAAACCAGTTCTAAACAAGGACTAAACCAGGTCTAAACCAGGACTAAACCAGGACTAAACCAGGACTACACCAGGACTACACCAGGACTAAACCAGGACTAATTCAGGTCTAAACCAGGTCTAAACATGGACTAAAACCAGGTCTAATCCAGGTCTAAACCAGGTCTAAACCAGGACTTAAACCAGGACTAAACCAGGGGTCTAAACCAGGACTAAACCATCTAAACCAGGTCTAAAACCAGGTCTAAACAGGACTAAACCAGGACTAAACCAGGTCTAAAACACTGGACTAAACCAGGTCTAAACAGGACTAAACCAGGACTAAACCACTAAACCAGGTCTAAACCAGGACTAAACCAGGACTAAACCAGGACTAAAATCAGGTCCAAAACTAAACCAGGTCTAAACCAGGACTAAACCAGGTCTAAAACATGGACTAAACCAGGTCTAAACCAGGACTAAACCAGGTCTAAAACACTAAACCAGGACTAAACCAGGTCTAAAACCAGGTCTAAAACCAGTCTAAACCAGGTCTAAACCAGGACTAAACCAAAGGACTAAACCAGGTCTAAACAAGGACTAAACCAGGACTAAACCAGGTTTAAAACCAGGTCTACTGAACCAGGACTAAACCAGGACTAAACCAGGACTAAACCAGGTCTAAACCAGGTCTAAACCAGGTCTAAACCAGGTCTAAACAAGGACTAAACCAGGACTAAACCAGGACTAAACAAGGACTAAATCCAGTCTAAACCAGGTCTAAAACAAAGGTCTAAACAAGGTCTACATTCTATTCAATATTCTCAATATCAATAATATTTTTAATTTGGTTCAGTAAAGTCTGGCCTTTTCATTTTCTTTTATCAGACAAAACATCTTGTTACGATGTCTTAGTCTTTGTTTCTCTACAGCAAATCAAGTAATCCAAAGTATTCAGATTACATTACTCAATTTAAGTCATTTAATGCATTACGTTACAAACTACATTTTGTTGTGTGTAATCTGTAATCTGTAGGGGATTACATTTTAAAAGTCACCTTCCCAGCGATGCAAAAATATAATAATAACACTCACTATTGTTTGTCGGGTCACAAAGCGCAGAAACTGTAACGAGAACGTCCGAAAGCGAAGAAATAATCCCGCATCCCGCGTTTAATCGCCGGGGTGGTGCTGCGTGCGGGTCCGGTGCGGCTCGGTGCAGGTTCGGGTGCTTTTGTCCCGCGTCCGGAGTGCAGATCCCGGGGTGCACTGGTGAATTCGCTCGGTCCGTCGGTCCGTCCTCCGCACTGGTGCTCCGGTCACGCACGCACGCACGCACGCAGCTCACGCAAAGAACGGGGATAAATCTGTTTTACCGCGAAAACGGCGTCCCGCGAAATTCGGATCTCCCGCGGCCGCGCTCGGCTCCTGATTGGTGCGGGAAAGGACGCGGTTTCTGATTGGTCCGCGGCACGTTCGGTTCGGCTCCGCTCGGCTACGTGGGGCGGGGGAGGGGGGGGGGGGGGGGGGGGTGACGTTGACGACGCGGCGTAAGAGGGACGTACGCGGCAGTGAAGGCGCCATCTTGGTGCTGGAGGAACGCGGCTTTGAATGAATGAATATTAAGTTTAGTTCTGGTTTAATCCTCTTTTAGTCCTGTTTTCGTCCTGGTTTGGTCTTGTTTTAGTCCTGTTTTAGTACAGTTTTATTACAGATTTAGTCCTGGTTCAGTCCTGGTTTAGACTTGGTTCAGTCTTTGGTTCAGTCTTAGTTTAGACCTGGTTTAGTCCTGGTTTAATCCTCTTTTAGTCCTGTTTTCGTCCTGGTTTGGTCTTGTTTTAGTCCTGTTTTAGTACAGTTTTATTACAGATTTAGTCCTGGTTCAGTCCTGGTTTAGACTTGGTTCAGTCTTTGTTTAGACCTGGTTTAGTCCTGGTTTAATCCTGTTTTAGTCCTGGTTTAGTTCTGGTTTTGTCCTGGTTCAGTCCTTGTTCAGTCCTAGTTTAGTACTATTTTAGTTCTGGTTCAGTCCCTGGCTCAGACCTGGTTCAGTCCTATTTTAGTTCTGGTTTAGCCCTGTTTTAATCCAGTTTTATTCCTGTTTTAGTCCAGTTTTAGTCCTGGCTCAGTCCTGGGTTCAGTATTTGGTTCAGTTGTGGTTCAGTCCCCTTTTAGTCCTGGTTCAGTCCTATTTTAGTTCTGGTTTAGTCCTGGTTCAATCCCTGGTTCAGTCCTAGTTCAAGTCCTGTTTTAGTCCTGGTTTAGTTCTGGTTCAGTCCTGGTTCAGCCCTGGTGTAGTCCTGGTTTAGTCCTGTTTTGGTCCTGTTTTAATCCTGGTTCAGTCCTGGTTCAAGTCCTATTTTAGTCCTGGTTCTGTCTTTGTTATAATCCTGTTTTAGTCCTGTTTTAGCCCTGGTTTAGTCCTAGTTTAGTCCTATTTTAGTCCTAGTCCAGTCCTGGTTCAGTCCCTGGTTCAGCTCTGGTTCGGTCCTGCTTTATTCCTGTTTTAATCCAGTTTTAGTCATGGTTTAGTCCTGGTTTAATCCTGTTTTAGTTTTAGTTCCTGGTTAAGTAGTCTTGTTTATAGTCCCTAGTTTTAGTCCTAGTCCTGTTTAGTCTTGTTATAATCCTGTTTTAGCCCTGGTTTAGTCCTGTTTTTGTCCTGGTTCAGCTCTGGTTCAGTCCTGGTTTAGTCTTAGTTTCATCTTGTTTTAATCTTGTTTTAGTCCTGGTTCAATCCTCGTTCAGTCCTGTTTTAATCTTGGTTTAGTCCTGGGTTTAGTCCAGGCCTACAGAATAAAATCGTACTTTTGAAACATTCAGCTTTGCTCTTTTTTGTAATTATTCTTCTTACTGTTCACAAAAATCCGTCCTTGGACCTTAGAACCCCAGCACCAAGATGTCGACCGTGTCACTTTACGCCCAGACTCTGAACATCTGACATCTTCAGTTCTTTATGTTCGCTCCGTGGAACAGTTGTTGTGTTGTTCTTAAAGAGACAGACGCCATGACAGTTCACTTTAACCCCAGAGTCTTTTCTTTCACAAACAAAGGATCACACACACACGTTTAAATAAAGCTCCTCACTGTTGTTACGCAAGAAACGATTTAGATCACAAAGCTCCACACACGCTTTATTGTTCTCTGGGTTTAACACGTTCTTCAGAAATTTGGGCCAATAACTCTAAAACCGCAAAAGAATCAATGATAAAACTTCAAAAAAAAGAACTTTAAGAACAATTTACAACGTCAGATTTCAGGACCAGATGAATCCATTATTTATTCACGCCAAATTAATTAAACAGAAGGATTTTATTATGAACCAAACTGAGCAAAAACGGATTCAGTCCTGGTTTAAACCTGGTTTAGACCTGGTTTAGTTCTAGTTTAGTCCTACTTTAGTCCTGATTCAGTCCTGGTTTAGTCCTGATTTAGACCTTGTTCAGTCTTGGGTTTAGTCCTGGTTTAGACCTGATTTAGTCCTTGTTTAGTCTTTGTTTAGACCTGGTTCAGACCTGATTTGGTCTTTGTTTAGACCTGGTTTAGTCCTTGTTTAGACCTGGTTTATTCCTGGTTCAGACCTGGTTTAGACCTGGTTTAGTCCTGGTTTAGACCTGGTTTAGTCCTGGTTTAGACCTGGTTTAGTCCTTGTTTAGACCTGGTTTAGTTCTAGTTTAGTCCTTATTTAGTCCTTGTTTAGTCTTTGTTTAGACCTGGTTCAGTCCTGGTTCAGACCTGGTTTAGTTCTAGTTTAGTCCTACTTTAGTCCTGATTCAGTCCTGGTTTAGTCCAGATTTAGACCTTGTTCAGTCTTGGGTTTAGTCCTGGTTTAGTCCTGGTTTAGACCTGATTTAGTCCTTGTTTATCCTTTGTTTAGACCTGGTTCAGACCTGATTTGGTCTTTGTTTAGACCTGGTTCAGTCCTGGTTTAGTCCTGGTTTAGTCCTGGTTTAGACCTGGTTTAGACCTTATTTAGTCCTTGTTTAGTCTTTGTTTAGACCTGGTTCAGTCCTGGTTTAGTCCTGGTTTAGTCCTGCTTCAGACCTGGTTTAGACCTGGTTCAGACCTGGTTTAGACCTGGTTTAGTCCTTTTTTAGTCCTGGTTTAGACCTGGTTTAGTCCTTGTTTAGACCTGGTTTAGTCCTTTTTTAGTCCTGGTTTAGTCCTTGTTTAGACCTGGTTTAGTCCTTTTTAGTCCTGGTTTAGACCTGGTTTAGTCCTTTTTTAGTCCTGGTTTAGACCTGGTTTAGTCCTGGTTTAGACCTGGTTTAGTCCTTGTTTAGACCTGGTTTAAACCTGATTCAGACCTGTGAAAGTTAATGTTGACTGTGCACTATACTTGTCTCATTAAATAAATAAATAAACTAAACTAAACTAAACTAAATTAAACTAAACTAAACTAAACTAAACTAAACCATCTCAGTTGAACTTGTGTTTCCAGAGCTTTAACCTGCAAACTGAGGACACAGTTTGTCTCGTTCTTCAGTGTTTGAAAAGACCAGACCTCATGTGAAACCTCAGAACCTCCACAACTCCACTCACTCAGTTGTCCTACATCGCTCCCTGTTGGTCTTTATGTGCAACTGCAGGACACTCAACACACACACAGTCAGTTACTATTATTCAGTCCATTTACTAGTATATGTTTTTTTTGCCTATGATCCAGACGTCTAGAAACATCCTGCCACGTGTTTTTATGCTGACATCTTCTTACTAAAGGGAAATAATGTCACGTGAAATAAAATGATAAACAAAACATATGAGTAGGGCTCAGTATCATTAAGAAGTTGCCGATACAATACAAATCTCGATACAGTGAGCTTTCGATTTGATATGATATATATTACAAATTGATTCAATACGCTTCAATAAAGTCTAAATCATGTCTGTGATACTAAAAGTCTTTGTTAAACCACTTCTTCTTGTGCAAAAGTTCATATGAAACACAAACATTTTAATCATTAAAACAGTGAAAATGTCAAATGTGTCGCATAAATGAGTTTCCTTCCTCTGAACAAACAACAAAACTGTAGCTGTAACAAAATAATTTTGTAAAATATATCAAAAAATACTCTTGGTGATATATCGATACAGCAGCCCATGGTATCGATACTGAATCATCACATTAGATCAGGGGTGTCAAACATGCGGCCCAGGGGCTGGATCCGGCCCTCCAAGACCTTTAATCTGGCCCTCGGCTGATTTTCTACTAAAATATTTTAATTATATTTTCTATTAAAATCTTGTTAATTTTCTGTGGTGTTTATCACAGCAGCGTCTCCAGCGTCTCTGTACGTGGCCCCTCCCACCAGAGCAGCACAAATGAAGACTTGTCTCTTTCCAAACGCTCTTAAAGGACGATCGTTTTGACTGTTGACCGTGACACCCTCATCAGAAAAATGTCCAACATGAGAAAAGTGGAGCCGAGTGCAGGATTTTACAACAAAAATGGACTTATTCCTATTTACAGACAAGTTCATGTTAAAACATTGTGTTGAAATTGTATTTTTCTTAAAGTTTCAGGTTGTTCATAATATTATAATATTTTGTAAAAGAAAGAGTTCATCAATTAAAAAAGATTTCTGTAATAGATTTGTGTTTCTCTGCACAAATATTTGAACTTATTGTTATTTTTGGGGTTTATATGACATGAGTTTTCTGATCCAGACACTTTGGGATCAAAGTCGGTTGGACACGACCCCCAGAACAAAATGAGTTTAACACTCCTGATTTAAACTTTACGATATACTGACATTTCGATATTTTTGCACAGCCCTACAAATGAGTGTGCTGAAAAAAAAACTAAATAAAGCAGTAAATCTGACCTGGCCAAACCTCTGTCTGTGTTGTAACTTCTGTAAATAAACTGGAGATAAATAAACTTGTCTATTCCAGGACGATTTATGTAACAGATTCCGGTTAAATACGTGTTTGGTTAATCTTGTACGGAAGCCGAGAGGGGTCGCAACAAACGCAAACACCGCAAACCAATACAAATGCGACAACACAACAAAAAGCCACAACAAACCAAAAAAAGCCACAACGGAAATGACCGCGGGGCTCTATTTTAATGCAAACGCCACAACAAATACAAACGCCACAACACAAACGCAAATGCCGCAACACATTAAAAAGCCACAACACAACAAAAAGCCACAACAGAAGTGACCAGCAGGACTCTATTTTCCGACGGACCGATCAAGCGGCAAGTGAAGAAGAAGAACTACAACGTGAAATGAATAACGATAAAACAATAAATTACTTTTACTTACGTTTCCAACTTCTCCGTTCCTTTATGTTGTAGTTCTTCTTCTTCACTTGCTGCTTGATCGGTCCGTCGGAAAATAGAGTC